CCCGGAGAAGGCCCATCCTGTGCGATCTTATTGGTCTGAGGGAGGTATGTGGCAGAAGACGGTCTCGTAGATACCCAGGTCCTACGCCATGTAGGGCTTTAAAGGTAATAACCTTTATGAGAACAGTTCTAGATAGGTGGTTCTACATCCTATCAGTTCATTAAAAAAGAAAATAACTGCAGAAGCGAAACGGCTTCAAAGAAAAATCGGAAAGTCCAGTTGCCTCTTGAAAAAACACCTTTGGGACAACCAGATCCTTGGGTGACTGAGAATCTCCATAGACATTTAGACTACCAAAGTCTAAACTACCAGTTTATGTTTCACTTTGTCTAGTCATTTAATGATGGGTTAAAACCTACAGGACCAGGAAGTGCCCTTTCTATAGAATGTATGTTATAACATGTCCACCATCTGGCCAAGAAACGTTTATTCTATTTACAAGCTAGTGAGGGAAAGAAAATACAGCACCAAATTATGAGGCAGCAGCTGATAAGAATAAAGTGAAAAACATAACGATACATATACGCAAGGAATCTTTTGACACTTCTGGTGTTCCAGGTTCAGCCTGATGTTCTGAAGAAATAGCTTCTCCCAATCTCCCATAAGCCAATTCTTCATTCATAGTTCTAATCAAACAGTCCATATATACTATTTTTTTGGGCCCGTTCATTAAAAACCTCTTCATTCTTCTCAAGAAGTTTACGCCTGAGGGAGAAAAAAAAGCGAAGGTTTTTTTCCCCCTGTCTTTGTACAAGGAGACTTAGAGAGCCTATAGAATAATGTCGGAAACCATTTCCCTCAATCGCAGATAGGATTGGGGAGTGACATCCCCCCAATTCCACACACACACCGACTTGCTGGGTCATTCATTGCACAATCAAGTGAAAGTAGTTTATAAGAAGCTAGTTGAAATTTTGTGCTAAAACAACTGCATGTATCAAATGTTTAGCAAAGTTATACAAGGGCACACACATAAATTACAAATTCAATTTATAAATTCAAATTGGATTTTGCTTGATTATCTACAATGAAGAGTTAAAGGCTCTTTTGTATACGATCCAGCATGTCACATAGGCACATTTGAGCCTGACGATATTTTTTTAAAAAGTTGGTTTGGGGACTCTGATTAGATAAAAATGCGTGGAAGTTATAGGAACAGTTGTATTATAGAAGAAAAATCTAAAAGCATAATTTGAGTGCAGCTTTTTCCAAGCTCTCGCCCTCAAATATGGCTATGATCCTTGGAGTCATTAACCGGAGAGTAATCTTGAAACAATCGGATTTACATTTGACAATCTGTGTATATGGGTGTGCTGTTAACTCATGGACAGTCATTTTAAATGTTTATTTTAATGGCAAATATTTCCAAGAGGTTTAGAGATTCAGCTTCACAGTCATTAAGATATCCTGATTTCTCTCCATGCCTCCCTACATCTTTGCCCTTGTCACTCCTAAGCTAAAAATGTTTCCAGAAGGGCGAATTTGGCAAATAATCACTTAAACCTTTTCAAAAGACTTACTGTTTTGGATTTTATTAGATTTTTTCCCCCACCTCAAAATGTTGTTTTCTTCTGTCAAAGAAGCTATATTAATTCGATATTTGTCTTCAGCAGATGATGTTTTTTGTAAGATAGTTTTCTCCATTTCTGCTATTTTGTTTTTCTGTAGTGGAGAAAATAAACTGGTGTTTGGAAAAATGGGAAGTAACATATACATTTCTATCTTCAATGATTTTTTTTTTTTTTTNTATTGCTGACTTCTCGCTGAATTTTAGACATTCTTCCCAGGTGGGCTTAGGCGACAAAGGACCCTTCCCAGGTTGAAATCTAAAAGCCTCTTTTACCTCCCTTGCGAAAGTGATCTCTAAGAATACACTTACTGAGCTTGGAGGTTTTTTTAAGACAATGAGCAACTCAAAAGAAAATCAGATTAACTTGGAATGGGGGATTTAGCACAGGCTGAGGTGCTTTGTGGGATGTTCCTGGGACATGTTTTAGCAATAGCACTTAGATTTATACACCGCTTCATAGTGCTGTACAGCCCTCTCTAAGCAGTTTACAGAGTCAGCACAACAATCTATGTCAGGGATGTTGTCAGGGTTCCAAAGAGCACCCTCAATAAAATAAAAATCTGAGGCAAGAGTTTCCTCAAAACTGCAATTTATTAAAAAGAGCCATGTTGGCACATCTGGGAAAACCCAAATCTGAAAGCTATCACATGGTCCAATCATTCATTGCCATGAAGGAAGATTCCTCCCATCCACATCCGTCCATGTGCAGGGACAAAGTGATCTTGACTTTCCGAGAAAGAATGTTGTTATTGTCAGCGTTCCAAATATCATCCAGAATTAAATTCAAGGCACAGCTTTCCTCAAAGTTCCAATTTAATAAGAGAGACATGTTGATACATCTGTGGAAACCCGAATCTGAAAACTTCCTGGGATTCCCACCCAGTTGAAAGTTCCCACACCCACAAGTCCAGGGAAAGGGAAAGCTTGGTTGGATGGTCTTATGCTGGACCCAATTACTGGTTTCAACAAGCTACAATGAAATACTTGGTAAATCATCCCTAGACTTCTGGGTAGACTGAGTTGAACTGTAACTGGGTTAATTCTCTTCACTATTGGGAATGGACCTAGAAATTTTGGGCCCAAATTCTTGCTAGGCATTCTTAATCATATGTATTTGGTAGACACAAAAACGTCCCCCACACGAAAGGGGGGTTGGAGCGAGTGGTGTTTATCAGCTTGCTTCTTGTAGGCTTCTGCCGCATCTGTTAGAGCTTTCTTCATATTCTCCCATCCTTTCTTTAACGTGTCCATCCATTCATTCAAAGACATGGAGGAGGGAGGTTCTCTAGGCAGCTCAGGCATGGCAACAAATTCCATGCCACTGGTAATTTGGAAAGCCGTTAATCCCGTGCTGCTGTGAACCGCATTGTTGTACGCCACTTCGGTGAAGGGTAGCAAGTCCGACCAATTGTCTTGCTGATAGTCCACATAACACCTGATGTATTGTTCCACCATCGCATTGGCCCTCTGCTGCGCGGTTCATGCTGGGATGAACTGCTGAGCTCAGTCCTTGTGTGGACCCAATGGATCTCAGGAACTCTCTCCAGAACTTGGCTGTGAACTGGACTCTGTGGTCTGAAATGATCCTCTTGGGCTCCCCATGCAGGCGATAAATGTGTTTCACAAACATATTCGCTAATTTTTTTGCAGACAGCAACCCTGAGCAAGCGATGAAGTGTGCCGGCTTGAAAACCAAATCAATAACTGTCCAGATTACTCTATTCCCACTACTGTCTGGGAGTTGGACAACGAAGTCCATTGCGACCTCTTCCCATGGTCAGTTAGGGCTGGCCACTCGTGGTAGCAGTCCAGGGGACTTCTCCAGCAGTGGTTTCATCGTTGCGCAAGTAGCACAGCTTTTTATGTAATCTTCCACCTCCAGTTTCATCCTTGGCCACCAAAATTGATGCCTGGCGAGGTGGAGCGTTTTTAGGAATCCAAAGTGGCCTCTTAGTTCCGCCTCATGGCTTTGCTGTAGAACTTCCAGCCTCAACCCTGCAAGGACGTACAGTTTTGACCCCTTCCAGACTAATCCATTTCCCATTGTTAGGATATCCTGGTTATTGTTGAGCCACTGGTCTGTTGGGAGTGCCAATTTCATAGTTGTCATCAGCTTATCCTGGCTTCGGTTAGTGACTTGGGCTGCCTTTTGGTAGGAGGATGAAAGGATGGGGTCAACAACTTCTCCCTTCTCACTGTCATACTGTGGCTTTCTCGACAAAACATCCGCCAACAAGTCTTTGGTACTTGTTGGATACCTAGGGGTTTGGTTTCTGCTGCAGGGGCTGCAGGTTCTGGGCTCTTGGGTTTAATCATCCCTGGGTGGCCCTTTGGCTCCACCGGTGGTAGCGTCCCAAACG